ATTGGGGTTTACTCAGAACCTGCATTTAACTATAAGAGTCAGTTGTTTCTGTTAATGCAGGATGGGTTGTGGTGTAGCTGAGTAGGCACCAAAAATCCAGGACTTCTCCAAATGACCAGCAAGTATAACGTGAAAGAAAAAGCATGTAAACAAAGAGATCTTTCTGCCTGTGTGGATGTAAGTAGCTATGTAAGATGCACTGTGTGTTCAGCTTGCCATTCAGAACTATTCAAAACCAGAAATTAATTTTATTAGTTTCCTCACACACACAAAAGTGGCTACCCAGAATCTGAGAATGCACCTATGAAATATGATACAGAAAATTAAATTCTGTAGCACAAAGTTCATCTTGGATTCGGGCTTCAGAAGCCCTTCAAAATCATGCGCAAGAGCATTTGGGATTATAAAATCTTAATCATCCTCACTTCAGTCGACATTAAAGGTATTATTTTTAAGGCAGTCCTTTGAGAAGGAATAAAAAAAGATAAGAAATTCAAAAGTCAAATAATTTAATTACTTATATATGTTTCTATTTCCAAGGAAAATTTCCTTACACATCCTTTTTTTTTTTGCTTGAGTTTTATCAAAAGCATGAGCAGACTCTGTCATGATGTAGAATCCTTCATTAGCTGTAGGTAATGAAGTTCCAGAGCCTAATGCCAAAAAGCTCGAGTTTCCTGTGTGAGAGTTCTTTTTACATAATGGCTTTACTACCTAATAAACCTTGAACCATTTAGCATGGAAGGCATTCTCATTTTTCAGACAACAAAAATTCATCTGCAGTATTTTTTCCGTAGCTATGTAATGAGGCTTGTAGAAACATGACACAAAGAAATGGAATGAATAAATCAAATTGTATGGAAAAAAACCTCAAGGATCTGACAGTAGAAATGACAAACAACAGGGAGCTCTGCAGCTTTTCTCATTGCCAGCAGAAACTCATTTCTTTCTCTGCTACTTAAGAGAATATTTTAAGAGAATGTTCTCTCACTATTGTATTGCCAGTGCAAGCTAGGGGCTCTAAGAGGGGATGCTTAGACACCTCCAAAATTCATCTTGAGGGTTGTACTGGAGAAGTGGTGGCTGAAGAAAAGTTGGATTAACTGAGGTTTCTATGAGGAATTTACTCTATAGGTGGTAGCTTTGCACCTTGCAAAATGCTTTATAAATGCAAAAATGCTTGTAACATACTTGTAGGAGAGAGAATCCATGTCTTTAAGCTTGTGAATGCTTGAGGACTCCTCCCTAGGAAGGGAGAGGAGTTCAAGTAGCCTGATCAGGTCTGATGGCTGGTGATTATATGTAATTTATCTTCAGTGCACAGGCAGTTTGCTAGTACAAATGCCAATGGGGAAGCACCAGCTTTTGTTTCCAGCAGCTGTCTAAAATCACTCTCTGTTTTAATGAGTCTGTGCTGAAACATAATCACATCTTAATGTCAAGCCATTTCTTCACTCTATCAGAAAAGCTGTGAAAAGCTGGGGGTAGAATGAGGCTTCCATATGTTCATGGTGCACAACAGAGTTATTGAACTGTGTTTCAGGCGAGGTGGATATCATGAAAGAAGAAAATAAATGATCCAGAGCTATAGAAGAATGAGCTACAAGAACATCCTGATGCATTCAGACCCTGAAGACAGCAGGTCTGGCTGGGCTGCCTGCATTGGGATGTAAGGATACCTCTTCTCCTGGAGCTGGCAGGTTGCTGGCTGTTGGGGCTGCTCTGCAGCATTTTGGGAGCATTTTGACCTATAGGCTATTTTTGTAAGTAACAGCCTAAGTCATTTAAAGATAGAAGTACACAGAAAAAAATGAGGGTACTCTATTGCTTCACTGATTATTATGCTGCTTGGCTTTAGTTAATGAAAAGTAAAAACTGAAAGTTGCTGCTACCTTTTCTGCTGCTACAGTTGAGACAGTTACTGAAACTGCGCTATGCATGCAGCAAAGTTTCTTACAAAAATAATTGAAAATTGAGCCCTTTTTTTCTAAGGGTCGAACAGTGAAAAAGAACAAACATTTCCAGTGACTAATCAACTCGCCTACGTGTAATTTGCTCTGAGTTAGTCAAACTGACTATTTCATAATGTTTATTTAACACTGAACTTTTTGAATTATTCTTGAAGATGTAGAGGTTTGTACCATCTGCAATACATTATGAGAAATCATGACCAGAAAATGAGGCCATAATTTCTGTTAGTAGTTTAATGCATCTCATATTTTTCTTGGAGTCAGAACAGATTGCATGATATATTTCGTACACTGCCTGTGAGCTAAAGCAGTCAATGGAAATGAAGAAACCTAGTTAAAGATGGAGCACTGTTTCTCTGTGTGTTCAGTTGGTTGTCTACAGAGATTAGGCTTTTATGTTTTTTAATGGGAAAATGGGGTTTGTGTTTGTGTTTTTTTTCCTTGTATTTGGTTATTGGTTTTTTTTCCCAATGTTGTTTTCTTCTAGTTCAAGCAACGCAATTTTGACATGTTGCATTATGTGTGTCTGCTGCTGATTTAAAAAAACCCTGTATCTTTATGCTTTTCAGCCTTAATTTGTTTTGTTTAACAGAAATACATGGATTGTCCCTACCTGGTGTGTACCTTCTTTTCCTTTCTCCTTCCCTCTTCTAAACCACCTCATCACTTTGTTTTCACTTCTTGTTTTCATTTATAGTTTTCATTTCATTTAAATCAAAGTGTCCCAGAGTAGTAGATCAGCTTCTTTGGGTAGCATTGCTGGACACACAAGCAGAAGGAAGTCTGTGATTGTGACTGCTTTGTGACTAGGTAGCATTAAAGGTCTCAGGATTTTAGATTAAAAAAAAACCTCCAAACTATTCAGAATAAAAAATTTAGACTATAAATCTCAACCTGAATATGTACATATTCTTATTGTAACTTAAGCAGAAACTACCACCTCTCTTTCTTTTTTGTTTCCTCTTTGTAATGTTTTCTTTTTTTGCTAGCAAATGAATTAATCATGTCATAAAAGAGCATGTGATGGTCTTTTTTAAATTAGCTTGGACATTGAGAAGTTCCAAAATGTGCCTCTAATATTCTTCCTATAAAGCAGTTTAATAAGATGTCATAATAAACATGTAAAATTAGATATATTGTGTCAAGAGGCAAAATAACCTCATTACGCAGAAAGCCCCAACAAACTGAGGCTTCCTTAATATATAATCCAGTAGTTTAATTTGTAAATATGATTATTGCTCTTAACAGAGTTCATTAGTACCTCAGAGTCCTCTAAGACATTTGAATGATACTTGTTATAATTAATATTTAGTTTTTAACACTGTTCAGAGTTTCCCAAACTTTCAAAATGGCTCTTGTAATTGCTCCTTTAAAATTTGCCAGCTGTGCAAACCTAATTGCTATGAAGATACAGAGGGCCTTCACGGATGCAGAGTGGCATTGCATTGATTAAATAACCATTTGTTTTCTTCCGCAGTAGAAGATTTGAATACTCTTTCTGAATAACACTGCTTCCTCTCATTCACAGGTAAATATTATTCTTGTATCCATATTTATGTCATTCAATAAATCTGTGGCATTCTGGATTTGGCTGAGTACATACGGACATGGACTGATGGTCTCCAGGGAGTGACACTGGAGCATAAATACTGATTCTTCACTGAATGTCAGTGAGTGACAAAAATCTACAGAAAGCACAGTCCATTATGTTGAGCGACAGGGAAGTGAATGTGGCAAGTTTCTATTTCACTGAGATGTACAGTTCAGGTGTGATTTACATCAGTGATCTTCATACACTGGTTCAAAAATTCCACGATGTACCAACTCTGACTATGAATGCCTGCAGTTTGCTCAGCTTAAAAGCTGCCATCTCTGCTTTCTTGCTTCAAAACAGAGCAAAACTCTGTTTCGGAGCAGATTCCCATTAGTGGGTCTGCTGCTCTGCTCCTGCAGCTTTACAGCATTGTGGGGTGTTGTGTGGCTTTCCTCATTTCTGCTTGCTCTGCTCATCAAGAACTGCACATCAGCAAATTTTTCTGCCTTTGCCTCCACCATCTTTCAGGCTGGAGTGATTGCCCTCGAGCTCTTGAGATAGTGTGGGACAGTAGCGCTTCCCTGCAGTGCTCATGTTGTGTGACAGCATCAGAATAATTAACAGAAGGATGTGGCTGAACAGTGCACAGATATCTCCAGAAGTATCACCTCCTTGATGTTAGTTGCAATTGATGTCCTTCGGGATACTTACTAAAGCAGATATGGAAAGTGCTATGGAAGCAATGCCTCCCCCAAGGACAGACAAAGGGGCAAAACTTCCAGGCAAAGGACTCAGTCGGTGGAGGAATTGGAGGGATGGATGGACAAATGGAGGGACAGATGGAAAAGAAGGATGGATGGATTGTGGAGCAGATGGAGGAGAAGGATGGATGGAGAACGCTGGGTGGTGGGGTGTATGAAGAGAATAGGTTGGTGGATGGTAGGGCTGGTGGAAGAGCAGGACAGATGGGTGGTGGGGACAAAATGGAGGAGAAGGTCAGGTGGTGGGGCAAGGATGGACAAACAATGGTGAAATAAGAGCAGATGGATGGAAAGTGGGGCAGTGGGATAGGGGGCAGCCCCACAGAGGCCCCTCTCAGGTGCCACCATCGTCCCCTGCAGGAGAAACAAGCCAGCATCAACTTGGCCATGTTCTGGAAGGCACAGCATGAGATGGATGAGGAAGAGGAGATCACATCACTGAGTCCCAGGTCAACAAGCTGCAGGCCAAGGGAGGCAACATTGGAGCCAGGGTGGGACGCCCTCCTTCTGCCCCACAGCCATCCCCTCACTCACCATCTCCTCTCTCACCCCACCCCAGAAGCTGTATGATGAAGAGTGACCCCACTACTGCCCCTACCCGCAAGATGGGAGCTTAACGATTTAGAAATAGTTAATCAATGACTACTGGAAGAACCCAGGCGTTGATTGGGTTGGGGAAGGGTCACAATGTCCCCTCACCCACCCGACCCCAAGAAACACTACCACAGAGAAACATCAGTGGTGGAAGAGGTTTAACTGGTGCCCAACACTGGGCAATTGGGGCTTTACGCGGTGGTTATGTGGGGGGTCTGGGGCAGGGTACAGAGGAATTATGGGACATCACTTTGGGTGAGTGTTTCCAATTATGTCGAGTCCACATCAGGGTCTGGAAGAGAAAGATGGGGAAGTTGGGGAAGATGGTAGACAAGAGGACACAGCTGTTCAGGGTTCCCTCCCCCTCCCACCTGAATGAACCCTTCCCCTCAACACAAGGGACTCACCCTGTACCACCGCTGGGGCCACCTCAGCACGGTAGGTGACAAAGGCGTCAAAGGCGAAGAGGAAGGAGAGGATAAGGCTGAAAGTCTGGGGAGGAGAAAAGGAAGCGGTGCCTGGTGAGGTGGAAGGAGGTGAGGCATGGGTTGGGGGTGGGGTTTTGGGGGTTTTGAGCGGGGACATGACACTCACGAAGGTGGTGGCAGCCAAGGCATCTCGGGAAGCAGCCAGGGCCACCAGAGCCACGACGAGGAAGATAATGGTCCCACTGACAGCCCGGAGGAGGTCCTGAGGGTACACCATGGGGAACAGCATGGGGATAACACAGTGGAGGAGCACCAGGAGATACTGAGCTGAACAATGAGGGTATGCCATGGGGGGACACCAAGGGGACAACACCATGGAAGAACATAGAGATGCCAGGGGAGATACCCAGGAGGGACTCTGGGAGATGTTGAGATGGACACGAAGGGGTGACACTATGAGGGGACACCGTGGGAGACCAAGACGGACATCATAGGGGAACACCAAGGTGGACACCGAGAGGTGACACCATGGGGGAACACAAGAAGATGCTAACATGGACATCAGGTTGGATGCCAAGGCATAACACCTGGGAGGACACCAGAAGTTGCCAGAGGTTCACCAAGGTGTGAAACTGAGAGATGCCAAGATGGACACCATGGGGCGACACCAAGGTGGGCACACCAAGAGATGCCAGAATGAGGGACATGTGGGGCAGAGGTGGGGCCATGAGGGGCTGCCATGGGGCCACGTACCAGGCAGGACCCATAGCCATGAGGCAGGCGTGGGGGGCTCCTCAGCAGCCGCCCCCCCAGGGCTGCTGCCACTGCCAGGGCTTGAAGCAGTGCCGGGGCCAGTGTGGGAGGTGCAGGGGGGGCCAGCAGCCCCACAACTGCTCCACACAGCATCTGGGGGACATGGGAACAGGTTGGAGGGGCACAGCAGACCCACAGCATCCCCATACAGACCCACATTGCCCCATAGCACCCCGGAGAGCACCCGTAGAGACCCGTAGTGCCCAAGAGCACCTCTTATGGCACTTACTGGGGATTTATGGCACCCTGTTAGGGACCCACAGCACCCCAGCATCCTGACAGCACCCCACAGGGCCCTCAGCAATTCCCACAACACCCCCACAGAGGCCCACAGGACCCCATAACACCTCCCAGAGCCCCTGAGCACCCCTTTATCACCCCATACTACTCCAATAGCCCCACAACACCTCCTTAGTGCCCCCCAGAGCCCCACAGTAACCCCATCACACCCTCTGGAACCCCAGAGTACACACAGCAAACTCATCACATCCCCTTTATGCCCCTCAGAACTCCTATAGTTCCCAGCAACCCCACAGCACCCCCACAGAGCCCCATAGCACCCACTACACCCCATAGAGCCCTACAGCACCATGTATCCCTCCCCTGTACCAGCTCAGCCCCCAGCAGCAGCCCCTTGGGGGTGCGCAGGACCCCCAGCTCGAAGGCTCCGTCCAGATCCTGCTGCCCCATAGTGGGGGGGAATATTTGGGGCTGGAGGGGGAGATAGTGATGACATGTGGGTCCTTCCCCCTGTGACAGGCAGCACTGGGACGAGGGACAAAGGGATATTGTGCAGGAAAGGAGAGGGGGGAGGGAGCAGCTGAGGGGGGACTGGGAGTGACAGAGAGGACTGCTAGAGACTAGGAAGCACTTGAGTAACTGAGGGGGGACTGGAAGCAAGCGAGGGGCAACTGGAGTTGACTGGGAGACACTGAGAGGGACCCTGCTATGACTGGGAGTGACTAGGAGGTGACTGAGGGGGATTGAGGGCAAATGAGGGGCATTGGAAGTACCATGGGGTGACAGGGAACAACATGGGAGGCACTGAAAGAAACTGGAGGGGGGGGGGGGGGGGGGGGAACTAGGAGGCACCCTGGTGGGGTGAGGCAACTGAGGGGCAAATGGGAGTTACTGGGTCTTTCAGGTTAAAGCTACCTCACCCAGTTGGCCAGCCTGCTGCCAAAGATTCCCTTGTTTCATCTAGACAGGTGGGTTCCCATCCCTCTTTACCAAGCTATAGCCTTCAAAGAACGTCCCATTGTCATAAAAGCCAAAACCCTCAGGATGGCACCAGCCATGAAGCCAGCAGTTGATTTGCAACATATGCAAAATTCTGGCTGCACCCTTCCCTCTAAATGGTAAAATGGAAGAAAAGGTAATAATGAAGGAAATTGATTTTGGGTGTCTCAGTCATTAAAGTAGAGGTCTACAGGTCCAGGGAAGGAGATAGTAAGAGAAATGTTAAGAAAAAAATATGGGCTGCTTTTTAATATGAAAGGAATGTACTGAGTCACCTTTATAGAAATATAGCTTTTCTGGGTAAACTCCTCTGCTAAGAGGCTTCATCCAAGGAAGCTGAATAAATCTAATAAGCTGTGCTGGAAGTCAGGCACTAAATGAACCTCTCCTGTGCCAGGCTTTCTGACTCTGAGTGATTTCTGAACAGCAAGCATTTACAGCAATAAAACTTCAAAAACCCCTCAGAGTGGCAGACAGAATGCTCGGAAGTCAAGGAAAGCACCTAAAGAAGGTTATCTGGAATTCTGAAACTCCATTTAAAAAAATAAAATGCTTGGAAAGAACTTAAATTTAGAAACTAACAAATTGCAAAGGATTTGCTGTTTTGAAAGATTACAATTAATCCATTAATCACGCAAAGCAACTTGCTTTTGAGGAGTATTTATGGGGCAGTGCTAAAGTTTCAGTTTGCTACATTCCATGTAAAACATTACGTGCCATGCAGGTTTGCTTCTAGCATTTTTAGAGGAAAGAAATGATGCAGCAGAACTTGATAGGCATGTGTAGTGGCTGAAGATGAGCACAGATGAAAATTCTGTTCTTAGGAAATAATGTAGCTAAGAAGCAGTTTAATACAACAGTGCACCCAGTTAGAGCACAAGTTTGAAGAGACCGCTGATCTTACTGTTCCAATAGTGAAAGACCGAGTAACCAATGTCCTTTCAAAAAAAAAAAAAAAAAAAAAAAATGGTGCAGGAAGATGGTTATCTAATCTGCTTTCCTAAACTCACCATAGTTATAAGTGCTATAACTAGAGAGTAAGCTGTATTTTTAAAAGCATAAAGATATATTTCTAAAATGTGTCCAGTTATATAGGACACAACCTTTGAAGCTGGGCAGATTAAATGGAGAAAGCCTCACTTTCAATACAGCTGAGTCAATCTAGGCCACTGCAGGAAGAGCACTGAAGAAGTCCTTTTACACTGGCAGACACAAAGTTGGAGCCTAGAAGTTTTCTATATTTTGATGGTAGGACAGAAATCCAGGTTGGCAGTTGACTAGGAGATATGGCTTTGGTATTCATACCTGGACCTTAGAAGCATCGCATTGCTATTACCGAAGGCCAGTGCTATAGGGCCACAAACCAGCCCAAGATGAGTGGTGGATCTATGCATTCATTTTTGTTTTGGAGAATACCCTTTATCTCCTCTCAGAGAGATTAAAAGATTTTTAAACTAGAAGGAGCTGCCTTTGAATAAAAAGGGCTTTCCTATATGCTGGAATATAGGCCAACATATTTAACATTTTAAGTTAGGAAAAGCAGTTGGGCAAGACCAAACAGAAAGAAGGCTCTACAAACTAGAACGTGAACCTTCTTCTCACTGTGTTTTTCATTTCCACTGAATTATTGAGTTAAAGCAAAAGCAACCCTCCAACCAATACCCAGGCCGACCCGAGCAGCAATCTAGCCCTTCTGGGTAACTGACCGCAGTTTATATACTGGGCATGATGTGCTGTGGTATGGAATACCTCTTTGGTTAGTTTGGGTCAGGTGTCCTGTCTCTGCGTCCTCTTGGCTTCCCCTTCTCCCTGTCAGAGCATGAGACTCAGAAAGTCCTTGGTCAGAGCAAACATTACTGAGCAGCAACAGAAAACATGGGTGTTATCAACGTTGCTCCCAGGCTGAAAGTTAAAAACACAGCACTGCACCATCTGCTAAGAAGGAGAAATATGACTGCTACTGCTGAACTCAGGACAGTATCCACCCCTTATTCCATACCATTCAGATCATGCTCAGATCCCGTATTTTTCAATATGCCATTGCTTTTGTCTCATACATATGCATATGTATATATACACACACACACACAAAGAGAGAGATATCATTCCCTATAAAGCTGCTGAATTCATCCAGTCTGTGATGCTGGGCTCCATCTCTTGTAAAAGTTTTTCAGAGCAGAGGAGACTGTGTGCAGTGTTGGATTGTTGCAATGCTGACAATACCACAGAACTCATCTGATCACTGCTGAGCTCGTCTGGTTTTGTCAAAGTTCATTCTTTGTTGGGATGATTATTGGAGGAAAGTCAGGGCCGGTCGCTGGTGACCTGAAGACATCTAATTGGTGGGCTATAAAAGTGCTATATAGGCAACAGCATCTAATTGAGTTCATTGGCTGTTTTACCCTAAAAGCAAATCCCCTTGAGGTACACACAGAACTTCCTCATCTTCCGGCATTACCCAGCAAGCATGTCCAGGTCCCTGAGCAAAAGCAGTCCCATGAGTGGGTTTGCCTTTACCTGAAGCAGGAATAACTCAGTCTGTCTTCCCCAAAAAATTCTTTATGTGCACCACAGGAATTTTATCCCCCTCTACAGTATGTAAAAGTTCTGATTGTGCTGGGACAGCCCTGTTGGCAGATCCCCTAATGTTGACTGACTGGGTGGCTTTTGGTAAATGTGTATCCCAATGTTTGAAGTCTCATCACCCATTGCTGTCACTGTAGTAATTAACAGCCCCTTGTACCATTCTATTTTCCCAGAGGCTGATGCATAGGAGGGGATGTAATATACCCACTCAATGCCACGCTCTTTGGCCCAAGTGTCTATAAGGTTGTTCCAGAAAGGAGTCCCATTGTTTGACTCAGTTGTCTCTGTGGTGCTGTGTCGCCACAAGATTTGTTTCTCAACGCCCAGGATAGTGTTCTGGGAAGGTGGCATGGGGCACAGCGTAAGTTTCCAGTCATCCAGTGGTTGCTTCCACCATGGTAAGCACATGGTGCTTGCCTTGGTGGGTTGGTGGGAGTATGATATAGTCAATCTGCCAGGCCTCCCCATAGTTGTACTTCAGCCATTGTCCTCCATACCAGAGAGGGTTTAACTGCTTAGCTTGCTTAATTGCAGCACGTTTCACATTCTTGAATAACCTGGCAATAGTGTCCATTGTTAAGTCCACCCCTCAATCACTAGCCTATCTAGATGTTGCATCTCTGCCCTGATGGCCTGAAGTGTCATGGGCCCACTGGGCCAAAAATAATTCACCCTTATTTTACCAATCTAAGTCCGTCTGAGCCACTTCAGTCTTAGCAGTTTTATCCACTTGTTGGTTGCTCTGGTGTTCCTCAGTGGCCTGACTCTTGGGTGCAAGAGCATCTAGATGGCGTACCTTCACCACCACGTTATGCACCTGGGCATACCTTGCCACAGTGCAGCAGCCCAGATGGGTTTACCTCTGTGTTGCTAGTTGTTCTGCTCCCATTGCTGCAACCGCCCCCACAGGGCCCACTTACTCCATGTAGCATTGGTTGCATGATGTGTAGAGGAGACCTTGCCTTTGAAAATCCATCCCAGCACAGGCAACGGGGGTGCCAGGAGGAGCTGTACTTCAGTGCCAATCACTTCCGAAGTAGCTTGAACCCCTTCGTAGGCTGCTAGTATCTCTTTATCAGCTGAGCCAGAGCTGGCCTTAGATCCTCTGTATCCCCAACTCCAAAAGCTGAGGGGTGGACCTCGAGTGTCCCTTGAAGCTTTCTGCCAGAGGGTCCAGGTAGGACCATTCCTACCTACTCCTCGGCTGCAGTGTAGAATACATTTTTTACATCTGGCCAGGTCTGGACTGGTCCAAGGGCTACTATCTCTTGTTTAATTTGTTCAAAGGCTTGTTGCTGCTCAGGGCCCCATTTAATACCATTTTTCTTCTGGGTCACATGATAGAGAGGGCTTACAATCAGACTGTAATTTGGGATGTGCATTCTCCAGAACCCCACTGCACCCAAGAAAGCTTGTGTTTCTTTCATATTAGTTGGTGGAGACATTCTGTTATCTTGTTGATCACATCTGTGGGCATGTGGTGATGTCCATCTTGCTATTTTACTCCCCCAAATTAAATCTTCTGTGCAGGTGTCTTGACCTTATTTTGTTTTATGGCAAAACCAGCTTTCAGCAGGATTTGGATTATTTTCCTCTCTTTCTCAAAAACTTCTTTCACTTTATCGCCCCACATGATAACGTCATCAATGTATTGCAGGTGTTCTGGAGCTTGCCCTTGTTCCAGTGCAGTCTGGATCAGTCCAGCTGAGGAACTGTTCCTCTTTTGCAATCGCTTTGTCAAGTGACTCCAGCTGCTTGGCTTCCCTACCTTCTAGTTCATGTCCCAGCAACAGACCAGCCAGCTGACAATGTGCTCGCCTGGATGATGGGTGAAATCTTTTCGCATATTCCGTAGCTTGGCTGAGGTCTGGGGTCGAGAAGTCACCTCTTCTTCCTCTTCCTCTGGTCCATGT